ATAACTGTTGGCCATACTTAATTATAGGCCAGCATTTTATTAGGATTTACCTTCAACTGATAAACAGCTAGATCGACGTCGCCCGACTTGTACGGCTAAAACAACACGACACAGATCTTGACTACATCTGCCAAAACTAAGGAATCATGCCCCAAAGTTTGTTAACCGATATGTAATGCTCAAGACAAATTTTGCTCGCATTGGAAAATATTAAAATCTTTATTACCAATCCTTCTTAGCATTGATCAAAGATTGGTTGCTCAGGTAAAACAATGCTTGTTAGTGAAAACCACAGAATTAAAATATACAAAACTTATTTTTTTGTGACAAATTAATTATAAAAATAAAATGTAGGACTAAAAATTTAGGACTGCAAATAATGTAGGACTACACATAAATGGACTATAATTAGGACTACAAATAAGGTAGTACTGAAAATAATATAGAACTATAAATAATGCAGTACTATAATTATTGTAGGAATACAAATAATGTAGGACAATAAATAATGTAGGACTACAAATATTGTAAGACTACAAATAATGTAGGACTAAAAATAATAAAGTTAAAAAAAACAGAAGAAGGTAATGGCGGTACCATTTTGATGAAGGTGAAAAGCAATCCTAGACTGCTTTGCCCTACGTTGTTTTAAAACACTTCTGATTTAAAAAAGAAAGAAAACTCGTCAGAAGAACAAATACAGAGTGGGCCATTAGTGCGTGGGTGGAAGATTGCAGGTTTATTAAGGTACATTTTTAAAATTCATTTTTGGGGCATGATTTAGGACCTCTAAGGCTTCAATTTAAAAATGTTTTCGATGAAATTCCAATTGTTCTACAGGGTGATTTATATCAAAGGTATGTTTATTTAATAGGAACCTCCTGTATATTATTGCATATTTGGATTCCTCGGTCAATTTTATTGTGACTTTATGTATCAAACATGGTATCTAGAATGAGTCGTTAAGCAGCAATTCATTATTTTTTCAAAAAGTCTAGATGTCTAGTAAAAATTGAATATCGCAGTTATTATTAAACTTAGAAGGCGCCGTGACTCTACAGTGTTACTTAACATGAAATGTACTAACATTTGCCAGACGATCAAAGTCAAAAAACCCTTTTCGTGTCTACGCCAATTTGCAAAATTTGAATCTAAGGTAACTTTCAATACATGCAGAATTCGATTACCATTCTAATGATATAAAAATATGTTGATATTTATCTTTTACAGATTTCTTTTTATTTAAAAAAATATAATAATTCACAGTATTTTTCAATTTTTAAAACCTTTTAATTAGTAGACTGTGAAAATAAAGTAAATCTGTCACTTTTTGTGACATTGGAAATTAGTTATTAAAACTCTTTCTAGTTTTGCTCAAGTCGTTCTAAATTTAAGTGATAATAATGGCACATATTTCCCAAAATGAATTAATTGATATGATTTTCATTCTCGGAGAATGCTCTAGAAATCCGTTTTTAGGAAGTCGTGTTTATAAAGAAAGATATCCTGAACGAGAACGTCATCCAAGAGACGAATCATTTTGAATGTTTTCTTCCAGAATGATTAGATTCCAGAATGCGCAGGGAACTTGAAATAAGAAAATTATTTTTAAATGGAAAAGAGAAGAATGTATGCAAATAAAACTATGTTTTATTGAAATGTTTAATCGTTTTTAATAAATTTTATTTCAATGGTGTCCCTAATATTCCAATAAGTCTATGCAAGTACAACTTAAATAATAGCCCTCTTTTACTGAGGAAAAATACATTTTTCTACACCCACATGGATACTAGCTTATCTACGCACAGGCTACTAAATGAAAAAGTATGCTATTGCGTTTAACTAAACGAATATATTTCATATCCATTCTAGATAGTGAGAACACTGCAAAAAATGAAATCCACCAATCATAGTTCATATTTTAGTCAACCGACTGCTATTATTTTTAAAATTTTAAATAAGTGACAATTCTGTTAAACCAATTGTCAGAATATTTTTTAATTATTTAGATTAAGTATACATTAAAATAAATTATTCTTGTGTAAAATCGATAAATAATAGCATTTCTATTTTTATTTCGGTTATAATTATAAATAATTTGTTAATTTAAATAAAAATATATGACGTCAATTTAATACGAGTATTGAAGCAAAAATGTTAAACGTATAGATCGTGGTGAGGTTGGCGCACTTGTGTTTTATGCGGAAGGCCCGCATTCAAATCTCGGATAGGGACAAATTAAATCGTTTTTCTTTTTTTCTTGTTTATTTTATTTTATAAATTAGTAAAAGTCATAAATTATATTTAAATTGGTTATTTTATCTTAATAGCCTAAAATAATTTTTAATATTTGTAGATTTTCGTGAGTGGGTCGTAGAAAAAATATACTGTACAACTCGAGTGATTGTCCATATCCACTCTTGTTGCACAAACTACTATTGTAGTTTTGATTCTTTTAATTTAAGTTTTACGGAGACTTTATTAGTATAAAAAATAATTTATAACAAAATAACAATATAAATAAGGTATATATTTAGTACAATAAGTACATAACTGTTACATTCATTTGATTGGCCTGATTAACATATTTAAATTTCACTTTTACCATTCTGAACTTCTTTGTCTATAAAGCTTATCGGTCTCTCTTTTGTGCCGTCTTGTCAAGGACTGCTAAGAACCCTTGACATCAAGTAACTTTTTACTTTCCTATCTGTATACAGATATAAGGAAAGTATAGGAATCATGATTTTTTTCGACTTCGAGTTTTCGACGGATTTTTACGTTTTGAGGTCCCCTGATTCCGTTTTGACTATTTTCGCGATGATGTCTGTGTGTGTGTGTGTCTGTATAACGCATAACTCATGAACCGATACACAGAAAAACACCAAATTTTAAACTTAAGCTTTGTTTCAGCGTCCAATGAGCTAATTAGATTTTGGGCAGAGTCGGAACATCTGGGGGGGTACTTTATAGGTGGTCATTTTTATATTTTATGGAATATATCTGTTATTTACGTTTGGAGAAGAAAATTCTTCAAATAAAAGTTACTTCTAATATAATTATCTATATTTTTTGTTTTATACAAAATTTTCCTAAAATGGTCCGTATTCGAGAAATTTGACAAAATGTAAAAAAAATAATTTTTTATAAAAATTGTTCAAATAAAAGTTGTTTGTAATATAATTCTCTATAATTTTTGTCCCATACATAATTTCTCTAAAATGGACCGTATTCGAGATATTTGAGAAAATGTGTAAATTTCGAAATTTGAAGAAAACTCAAAAACGGATAAAGGAAAATACATTAAATTTTAAACTTAAGGTTTATTTCGGCCTGACGTGAAATGATTAGATTTTGGACAAAGTCGGAACATCTGGGGGGGTACTTTATGGGAGGCCGTTTTTATATTTTATGGAATATATCTGTTATTTATGTTTGGAGAAGAAAATTGTTCAAATAAAAGTTACTTCTAATATTATTATCTATAATTTTTGTTTTATGTCAAAATTTCCTGAAATGGTCCGTATTCGAGAAATTTGACAAAATGTGCAAAATTCTGATTTTTATGAAAATTGTTGAGCTAAAAGTTGTTTGCGATATCGATTTATATAATTTTTGTTTATACATGATTTTTCTAAAATGGACCGTAATGGAAAAGTGCTAAATTTAAATTTTTCAGTATTTTCGTTATCAATGAATATCTATAGAAAAATGTTTCGAGGTAGATGTATGTGGACAATGTATATATTTAGTTTATCCTCTAAACATTTATAGAGATGCTGCAATAGGTTGTACAAAATAACCGGAAAATGCATATAATAACTAGATAGGAAAGTCATGTGTTGGACACATCAGATTTTTTTTAATTATCTATCTTATTCTTAACGATAAAAATATGATTTAAAAGCATTATCATCATTAAAGATGTAGCTAGAAAAAATCACGAACACTTTTTTTGATTTGATACGTAATTTTCATGATATTGGCGTGTGTAATTTAAAAATCGGTAAGACAAACTTATTTTTTCAAGCTCTGGGGTAGTATTCTCGAGTCACGAATATAGATTGGCATGCGAGATTTATTATTTGTCTCACTTGGTTTTCGTTCAACAAAGTGAGACACATTGTAAAACACGTATGCGAATGTCGGTATTCGTGATTCGAGAATACTACCCCTGAGCGAGAAATTATACGTTGCCACATTAGATCTTGTGAACTAAAACTAAAGATATGGATGCCTACAAACTAAATCATGAAGTGGTAGGAGGAGGGAAGTTCCGAAATCAAACGTGATGATGTCATAGCTTACTGTATCCTCTTAATAGAATTTTTTAAATAAAAGAAATCTGCAAAATAATAATAATAATAATATGTTTATTCAAATATTTTAAAAGTACAAACCTAAATACATAAGTCTAATCCGTGAAGTGAGGTCTCAAATAGTTAATTTTTAACAATCTTAAGTTTTTTTTCCTTATTATTACTATTATATTTTTTTTATTTATTATGTGTATCTGTAACACGTATAATTAGAATGTTAAGCATTCATTTATAATCTGATGGAATAAATATCGATCCGTCTCTAAAATCCAGTTTTTAAGTTTAGTTTTGTAATTAAGAAAATTTTTAATTTGTTTCAGTTCCTTTGGAAAATAATTAAATAATTTAGAGCTAATGTAGTTGCAACTGTGTTGACCTATTGTTTTATTGCATTTAGGAAGCTGTGTTTTATATTCTTTGTTGCGTGTTTCATAATCATGTTTTGCGCATTGTATTAAAATTTTCTCTTTATGAATATTAATAAGTATTTTAAACGCAAATAATTGTCGTACATCACATATTTTATTCTGTTGATATAAGAGATTACTTGAATATATAATTGGTTTATTATAAATTATTCTTAACATCCATTTTTGTATAATATGTAATTTGTTTATGTATATATCTAACACACCTCCCCAAAAGATAAATATCATGTTTTTATATTAGAAAGGTAATCGAATTCTGCATGTAATGAAATGAAAAAAAATTGGTAGCCCCATTTAAAATAATCAAGTTACATTGGATTGAAATTTTGCAAATTGGCGTAGCGATTACTTTAAACACGAAAAGGGTTTGACTTTGATCGTCTGGCAAATGTTAGTACATTTCATGATGAGTAACATTGTAAAGTCACGGCCTTCTAAGTTTTATAATAACTGCGATATTCAATTTTTACTAGACATCTACTTTTTGAAAAAATAATGAATTGTTGCTTAACAACTCATTTTAGATACCATGTGTGATGCATAAAGTCACACTAAAATTGACCGAGGAATCCAAATATGCAATAAAATATAGGGGGTTCCTATTAAAAAAACATAACTTTGATATAAATCACCCTGTAGAACTATAAATATTTTTTGGTTGTAGTCTTAGAAGTCCTACACCATGCCCCAGTACCTTAATAAACCCGCAATCTTCCACTAATGGCCCACCCTGTATATATGGAAAAGAAAAACTAATAAGGAATTTGATAGATTTCTGCATAAACTCCACCAATAGAGCAGTCTTTAGATCACAAAAATTTAGATATCTGGAATATCTTGCAAGATTACAGGAATCTAATATACCGATAATAACTGTTTATAAAAAAAATCGAGTTTATGACGAATGCAAAATTTAACAAATTCGAATAAAATTAGTATTACAACATTCACTTCATAAAAAAAGGAAAGGAAGAAAAATAAATAAATGGCTGGATGATTTAGAGGAAGACATAAGAAGATTGAATAACAACAATAAGAAACTGCATTTTATTGTACATTATTTCCTTTGGATAGAAAATAATATTTTGTCATTAAGTTTTAATTCCGTAGAAAAAACATAAGTTCAGGAAATAATTTCTCAATTTGATGGATTTTTATAATTTTTATTAATTTTTATGTAATCGTCTAACAATATTAGCAGATTGGATACACTTTTTTTTATTGCCATAGATTTTATAAAAATTTCGTACACTATAAATTATTAATATATTCACAGAATAACTTTATATATACAAACAATTATTGATTTTCATCAATTAAGAAATTAATTATAATCAACTACAAATTTCTGCTTTCAAATAATAAATAAAGTTTAAAATAAGAATTGAAAAGCCTAATTGCGTCAAATATATATACTATTTCATTTAATAATTCTTCATATTTAATATTAATTTTATAATGATTAGTATACGCGAAGCTCAATAGTTACATTTTTAGCAATGAAGCCATATTTAATCTAATAAAAATATTCAATTAAAAAATACACACTCCAAAAGAAGATTAAAGAATTGAAGTCTCACCTTTTAAAGTTGCTATTTTGTAAACAAATTCTTGCTTCATTCCCAAAAATATCAGAAACGATACACGAAAGCAATAGATAAATATTAAATCAATATTGTTAAACTCTACTTAAAATTAAAAATATATCGATTAAAATAAATTAATTGCTGTTAGTAATGAAACATTTAATAATACAAACAAAGTTTCAATTACAATCTAGTTAACAACTGTTATTGAAAACAGACTAGATTTCATTTGTTCGACGCAATTTCTTCTTTCAATCAATTAATAAAATTGATTATATTCAATAAATAATTTGATGCAAGTATCACATATAGGTTAACAAGTTATGGGGCGATGATGTAAATGTATTGCTGAAAAATAAAAATAAAAAAATTATAATTATGATACACGCCTGCGAACGAATAGTATGTGCAACTATTTGGACTATGATTGGTAAGCTTAAAGTGTCAGCGAAACTGTATTTCAAGATATATGTCTCTGTATTATTATAAATTAAAATCATTTTTTCCTTGAAATAGTGCAAAATTACATATCAAAATATCAAGTAGAAACTTTCCTTCAAAATGTTTTTTTAATTTATATTTTAAATTTTGCTATTCATTTTTAAATAAAATAAATTGAAATATTGCTTCTCGTAATAATGTTTTTTATTTTTTTAATTGATAAATTAATTCTAACGATGCAGACGCGATATCAAATTTATTTTGTCGTTCCTATTTAGGAATGAAAATTTTTACATTATTACTTATTCGTAAGAATGACTTATTTAAAAAAAAAGTGTAATATGACAATTTAGGCATGTACTGAAATTGAAGAGAAAAGTAAAGGCTAACCCTGACTATGTCTGGCCTCATCCCGTTTGCCAATTAGTCCACCCCTGCTTTGGTTGATTACATATGTTTAAAGCTTCGTACGTTGCCTTATTTTTACGGGCCTACCACTTTTTTCTCTGCGAAAATTTTTGGAAAGCTGCCTTTTCTACTGTGCAACGCCTGTAAATCTCGATTTTACCACATCCTTCTTTTGCTTGACTGACATAATAAATCCGGCGATCGAAGAGTACATCGGCTGCAATATATCAAAATAACGAAGTTATGTTTTTTAATTACCACTTAATAAAAACATCCTCACCCAATCAGTCATAGTCACTGCCAAATTTGAAGCGCTGTGTTTTCAATCCGACAAACTTAATAATTTTTACTATGGTATGCTGATTATCATATATTTAAATTATCATTTTTTAAGCTATTGCATAGCTTTTATCGCGGGCTTTGAGCGTGGCGACCGAATCAAGAAATTCCGTAATTCCGTAACGAAAATAAACCTAACACCCCCCCACTCCGACCGGCACAGCGGTGCGGCGTTTTGAAAGCCGTGGAAGGTTTTATCCGACCCTATTCGTATTAGTATGAAGCGGAGTTAAATATACGTCTGCGGACTGGAACGTTCATGCAATACAAGAACTAGAAGAGCTTTCTCTGGCTTCTAATAAATTGGTATCACAAATGTTCCCGGCTGGCGTAAATATTAGATATTAATTTTTTTTGCAAGATTTATAATAGTATATTATGCAACGATCATGTAATGATGGTTATTAATACACGAGCATTAACCGGGATACGAAACGAGCCAAAGGCGAGTTTCGTATGGTTTATGCGAGTGTTTTAATAACTATTACATGAGAGTTGCATACGCTATTTTTTCTACACCCGATAAATAATCAAGACCTATAAATATTATATGTATATTGGTATTGAACACAATAACAGTAATTACTCGTATTTCTATAAAAAATTCTACAAATTTGTAATTAATGGTATTACTTCGGGTATTGGTATTTCCCTAAATTTTTGCGCAAAATATTTTGTACTGTATTTTCTGCTTTCTCCGATATGTGTGGAGGAGTCTTATATATCGCTGATATCAGACATTTTAATATTATAATTATCGAAGTTTAGCTATATACGAAAATTTAATATGTTTTGACAACTAAAACAATTGCATAGGAACATAGGACAAACGTCAAACAGCATGCTTGATTGAAAAATTGTAGGTTTCTATTGATTAAAAATCTGTATCGTAATGAAAAATTTGTATCATAATGGGTATCATTATGAAACGGATTATGGGCACATAAGTGCATTATTATAATACGGGTGTAGAAAAATATTAATTTTTATTTTATCAGTGTTAACTATTTCATTATTAAGCTATTGCACAGATTTTATCGCGGGCTTTGAGCGCGGCGACCGAATCAAGAAATTCCGTAACGAAAATAAACCTAACCCCTCGAAAACTCGAAAAACCGAAATAATCAAAAAATCGAAAAACGGAAAAATAAAAAAAATCGAAAAATGGAAAAATCGAAAAAAAAAACAAAAAAGAAATTCCGTAACGAAAATAAACCTAACACCCACCACTCCGACCGACACAGGGTGGGGCGTTGAAAGCCGTGCATCGTCTAACGTCGTTTCAGTTCGGCAGACTTCGGCACGGTGTTTGTGTGCGTGCGACTAGACGTATGCGTGTAGACTATCTGCTAACTGATTCTATCTCTTTTAGACAAAATTTCGGAAAAATTGAATTTGAAAATGAATAATGATCCACAAGAATCCACAACAAAATATGGGACCACCATTGACGCGGTCTCAAACTTATGTTTCTTATTTCAGTTATCATAAACCTATAGTTTCAATGATAAAAATTCCTGAATAACCTACATGTATTGTAAGATAATAAAAATATTTTAAACAATATTAACTTCTCATTTATTCAATAAAAGAAAAAAAAATGGTTTTTCTATCGGTCACCATGCTCAAAAAGTGTAACTTGAATTAATATCAAAGAAAAAACTTGAATATCAAAGAAAGAAAAATACTGCATAAATAAAATAAATAAATAATTATATTTGCAAGTTGATAAAAAATACTATTCAATAGCTTTACTGCGGCAGTCCCCGAGTGCCACACGTATTTTTTATTTTGATATGACGTATAATACTCACTAAAATATGTGACTGAAACATTGTTGCTGCAAAATAATGAAAATGAAAAAACGAAATTTAAATTTAACGATTTTGAGCGAGTGCGTTGATGAAGTTGTCTCTGTTGAACGACCGAAAATGTATTTAACTATCATAGTTTGTTATATTATTAAAAGTAATTATACCTTTATTTATAAATTGAAGTTAAAAGAAATCAATTTCTTGTGTAACTGAAGACCAAACTAATTCAATTGGATTAAGTATACAATAATAAGGTAACCTCATCTTTTGCAAAATTATCAATATAATACGGTACTGGAATATTCTTACTTATAACAATTTGTAACAATTATGGGTTTGTTTTTACGGAAACAGGAATATCAATATTATTATCTTTTAAATACTTTATTATATCTGAGGGTGAAATATTCGGTAAAAGTTGTTCAGCAAACCAGTTCTCAAAAACTGCTGCATTCATATCTTCATGATAATCCAGCACAGCTTTATTGATATTTTTTTACTGAAAGTAGCAAAGCGTTTGGCACAAAGCCATTTTTATTTCCGGCATGTAAAATTATGACTCGTGTCCCCCTCGAGCATAGTGCATTTAAAACACAATTTTGTGAACCGACTGTCCAACCACGTTGAACGTCATCATGAGTGTCGAACCATGTTTCATCTAAATAAACTATATTTCTATTACTATTTAAAAATTTCCCTTAAATAAATTCGACGCGATTTCATAATGCTCATTCGACTATCCAACTTATTAAAGTTATTAAAATTTGTCGAAGTGATTCTAATGATTTATATTTGAAATCTTCAAAATCTTAATTTTCTAAAAAGTATCTCTAAGGTAGGGGCTTGGTTTTCTTTATACGTGTTGTAAACCGTTAGTCGAATCACATCTTTAGATGCATCATCTATCCGACGGCTGACGACACATTTTCTTTTTTTACTGTGTTCAATAACGAAATAAATTGTGGAAAAGGGAATTTTTATTTAACTTGCATATTCTTTTAACTGCATCTGTTTGTGAAATATTTGGATTTTCTGATTTAAGACAAGCAAATATATTTAAAATGACCTGTTGAACTTGAATATGTAAGTCCTGATTTTGGAATTCCCAATATTGTGTTTCCACTTGATTGCCATTAGTATGAATTGCATTATTAATACGTATTTCATCATTAATTTGTACTGCATTTAGTTGTACTTCATTATTCTGAATTTCATTATTTATTGGAATTTCATTATTAAGGTGAATATCATTATTAACCTGCAATTCATTAGGATCTACATTTACCTCAAAAAGTCCCCACAAATCAAAATTTAACATTAACTGTAGATGCTTTGATGTTTAAAACTTAAGTGGGCCACATCAGTGCTATACCAAGACGATTCGCGCATATTTGCAATGTGAGGGGTATAGAATTTGTAGCATTCTCAGCGCTTATAACGCGAATTATTACGTACCCCCGGTACAAACGCCTGTATTGGATTGAATCTAGAAACACTAATATTATGTCAATAAATATAATCATCTACCATGCACGACTTTTGTCCGACATTTAGTAATGAGCTTTCATCTGATCGTAAAAATGATATATTCAAATCGCCGGACTGAAAAGGGCGCTTTAAATTGTGCGGTCTTTATGACCGATTAGGTAAGCGTGTAATTATTAAACAATCCTACGAAAATTAATTATGTGGTAATTAGAAAAAAAACATCGTTATTTTGACATTTTGCAGGCGGTGGACTCATCGATCACCGGATCAATTCTGTATGTATGTGGTTATTGTATTACATAACATCGTCAAATTGACATGTTTAGACGCTACGTAGTAGAAAACGCAGAAGAAGGTAATTTAAGAAGTTTTAAATATATGGTAATTAATCAAAGCAGGGGTTGACGTACTGTGGACTAAATCTTTCAAGGTTAATTAACATCTGATCTTCACAAATCCTATTTTTTACCTAATACGTAATGTGCGTTATTATTAACGCGTGGAGATATCGTTACAGTGGTGCAGTCTAGTGGTGAAACGACGAATTAAAGAGAGATATTTATTTACAAAACATAAGAAATAGAAGACAAAGAATACTGAAGTAGAAAAGAAGTTATCAGTAGATGTGATATATACATTTTATTAGTCATTCAAGTTTTTTTTTAATGACGAGGGTAGATGTTTTATAAGAATAAATGCAACATACATGCTTACATTACAGATTTATTATTTAATATAACTACACTTTTTTTTCAGTACACTACAGCATAACATCAACAAGAAAAAATATGAAAGAGTTTATTTCGAGAATTTATTTTTAAATTCCAATTTTAAATTAAGAATATATTATAATCGTAT